ACTTAACTGTACTCTAACTTTAATTTTATTTCCAACAACGCCTTCACTATATTCCGTACGTGACCTCTTGCAAATATTAATAACACTTAACAAATATCACTTTCATTAGTCACCCAATGTAACACTTTTACATTATATTCACTCAGTTAACTTAAAGGAATGTGGACAGGTTGAACGACAAAGAACATGAAAAAACTAACGATGTATCGTCCAGAGAATCAACCTCAGCACTCTCATCTTCACTACTACAATTGCAATCGTCGAAATTCGTCGACAGCGATCGCATCATTTCGTTTATTGCATCATATCGTCCTTGAGTTGTCTCATCGATATCCTTAATCCACTTTATTACTAACAATACGGTACGCCGTGAACAGAAACTTTGTTCCTTGACATATTTTGTTGGCTCAAAATCACGTTTACGTTTCTTTGCATGTTCATATTCTACACTCGCAATCAAAGGAAAATAATTTTAAACGAAAGTACAACTCTGAGGCGACTTTGAGCTTGAACGCAGTTTATAATGGCACTTATACGGTTACAAAAAATTCTTACTTAAGCTGATGAGTTAACAAATTGATGAAATCAACTAACAATAAGAATTGCTGACTTATTTCCTAGACTATTATGAATACGTTCAACAAACTGATCAAAACCAACATCATTCGGTATTGTGATGAGAACGATTCTGGGTGGTGGCATCCACAACCGAGAATCACATCGCTGCAACGCACGCTTCTTACAACTCCGCTTTGGTCTCATCTCAACTGGCACATCGTACCATCCCTGTGAGCTTTTTGACTGTTGTTGTAGTTCATCGACTGGTTTATATCCAGCCAACAGCATCTTCTGCAACATTGCAAAAAACTTAGTTGGTTAACAAACACGTTTGCTCTCATCATCAAACCATAACCACACCTGATCACTTATGAGAGGAATAAGTGAGGGGAGAGTGAGCAGGCATCAATTCCTCTGGACTTCCGCAGACTACCGAAAATAAGCTATTGCACTGGAACTCTCACGTTCCCTTCAGCTACTACCAATCCACTACATTTACAGTTTTTCCATTTACCTTTCAAAGTTGTTTCATATCCCCATCCATAACAACTCCTTGTGTTACACTAAACCTTAATATGAAGAGGACAATAAAGAACTACAATTCAACTACGTATTATTCAATCCGCGACTATTTGATCATAAAT